CCATTGCCGCTTGGGCTATAGAGTCAGTTTTTGCTATTGGTGTTAAATAAGAATGTTGCACGTGATAAAAGTTATCAACCCCTCTACTCGCCCCCTCCCCCGAACACTCTCTTTCTATCTCTATCTCTCTCTCTCTCTTTCCACCCTCGCCCACCTAGCCCTAGCAGCCTGACTGAAATGTGGCGCAACAATTCCGCGGAAGTTCCTTCTGTCCGACGAGACCCTATTTTTTCCCTCCTTTTTGCTACAAGAATCACGACAAACGCTCTCGGACAGGCACGCGCGCACACACTCACACAAACACACACACACATTCCCAAACAAATAACAAACACACACACGCGAGCGCGCAGGCACATATACACATCATGACACACCCAACAGGGAGGCGTGGGAGCCTTGAAGGCGGGGTGCGCTGGTGTGCCGAAGACAACCGCGTTGAAGACTCAATGTTGTTGACAGTTCAGAAGACAATGTGAACTTGTTTCATGCACTCGATCATGCATTGAAAATGTTGCCGTCAACTAGTGGGTTTTTAAAACAATGAAAATGACTGAAAAGTGCGAACCAGAAGCATAACTCAATTAGTTCATTGTTACTGCGTCGAGGACTTACTTCCTCTTTGTAACAAACGTGCTTTCAGGTACGTTTTTGACGCGATGTTCCAAATCGCGATGTTACGAAATTGTTTGATTTTATACCAGAGGAGGCAATAACTCCGTGAATCATGTGTACACCTGCCTGGGAGTCAGCAGGATAAAAATAAATCGAAATCAACAGAAATTGCTCAAACTAAGCGGGAAACAAATTGAACTGCTCCAAGTTAGTCAAAATAAGTGTTTTCTACCACTAGAAAACCTAAGGAATAAATGCGGACGCGAATCACTATGGGAATCAAGTATTTCGGGAATCATGTGTACACATCAAAAGGGAGTTGTTGCCCCATCGCATCACCACGAACAGATCGTTCCCAAAATTGACGAGTAATACTCGGCATTTTCAATGACGAACTATGATGTGAAATGACAAAAATTTATTAACAATCAAGAGCTTTTCAAGGTATAATAAACAAAGGTAGAACAAGGTCGAAACAAACTTCATTTGACCCTATAGTATCTAGTACATCATCACGAATGAAACTAATCCCGCCTTGGCCTTTTTCTCAGTCCGCTGCACTCCACGTTTTGTGTGAATGGATGAGAACTCTCGCCCTCGCACGTGTATGTGTGTCTATGTGTTTGTGTGTGTCTGAGTGTGTCCATGTCTGTGCGTGCTGGTACAGCGAGCAGCTCGCTTCCCAGAGCAGAGGCGCCAAATGATTGTTCTCGTTCGTAAAACACAACGACAGCTAGGAGCATGCGTGGCCCGCGGGCGTGTCGGGTTGGGGGGGTATTGTAGAAGAGGGTGGAGAGGGAGGGGGGGGGGG